TTTCTTCATAACAAAGCCTCTCTTGCAATTATGGCCTTGAGATAGTATAAACCTTATGCAAAACTTACCATTGACTCTCTCTAGGATCATGCATGAATTGGCACCTAACACCACCAATATATATTATATTTGGTCCGGTATAAGATAAATAAATTACTCTCCGAGCTATACTACATTATCTTCCCCTTTCCATATATGTATTATCATATTTCTTCACCTATTCTATGATTAGGTTCAATGGTTATTACAGCACTCTATAGACAAGTGTTCTTATATCTTTCAAACGATCTAGTGCATATTTTTCACAAATAAAAATGCCTTCATTGGAATATCTCATATTGATGCCCAATAAACAAAGCTTCCATGTTCTTTCATATAAAACTCTTAGGCAAGGCATTTTAAAAAAGATGCACTTTTCGTTGGGTTATCTATAATAGTACAAATATATCAATAAACCTATGACTTCTCTAGGAGTTGAATATGTTATAGATTATGATCACCTTCACCTTGCTTCTACACTATTGTTAGCACTTCCATATACAACCTTCTCTTAATTATGATGCTATTTGGAATGTTCACAAGTATCACAATCAAAACTACTAACATTAATATTTGTAAATAGAAGGAAATCCATTTTCAAGAAAATTAAAATATGATGTCCAAGGATAGGTGATGGAGCCAAATCGGAGTTGAATTAGAAGAACTTTTTGACGAGCAAGAAAAGCATAACTAGTTTCCTTTGTTTGTACTCCCTTCCACAAGAAAAGTAGATCCCATTTCTCTCCTTAGCAAATCCAATCGCCCTGCCCATAACCCAATACTATAAATACAAATATAGGAAAGAAGTAACACAAATATAGGAAAGAAGTAATTTTGTAGTTTAAATCTTTGGTAATTTGGAGAATGAATACACAATCGGTGTACAGCTTTGAAACTACTAAAACATTCTTCAAAGAAAGAGAGTGATGATTTACATTTAGTCTTTCTTGTCCAGCAATAGTTACAAATCCACAAACAGTTATTTTTTGACGTGCAGAACATGGGTTATTGGTATTAAATCTATGTGAACTATGCATCATATGATCAGTGTTGCAAAATCAATGATCTAGAAGAGGCACTAAAAACATAAGAGATAAGGTTCTTACCTGATTGAGCCAATAAACATTTAGTTAAGAGGATAGTGTAAAAGAACTGAGAAGACTTAAGTTTGTCAATTTCCTACTTCAGTTCTCTAACCTAATTAATCTTTTGGCTTCTCTGAGAAGAGTCCTTATCATGCGTAATGTTTCCTTCACTCTATAGTTGTCCCTAAAAACACTTCACTCCTCAAAAACCTTCATTCTTATTGAGTGCTTAAGCTTAATTTCTATTAGAATTTAAGATATTTTTCTCGTGTAGCACTTCTCGCAATGAGTGTACCAAATTCCATCAAAGTTACTCGATATTTGCTTCCAGGTTTGTTGTTTTTTTCTTGAAAAAATTACTTTCCTATCATTAACAACAGGCTTTGTACAGATTATGCTAAAATTTTCTGTAGTTTGAGATTCGAGCATCATTGTTATACTAAACACGAATTATCAAGGTTTCATAAAGAGATGATAATGTCACCTTTCCTAATGCACATAGACTGATTGAACTCTGCATGCAGGCCAATATCATCCCTTTCTATAAGACTTTTTTAGCATTGTGACACTTTACTTTGCTGATAAGATTCTAATTTTCATTTTGCATATTAGAGAAGCACCTTGTATCCAACACTTGGCTTCCTATTTCTTTTAAAATGTTTCAAGATGAGATAAGGGCCAAAATGATCTCCTTATTCTTTATGATTCTCGACTATTTAAAAGTCTCATTTTATCCCTTGACTTTTAAATAGATACCTAATTGATCCAACGGAAGGACTAATTTGGCCTCTATTTAAGAGTCAAGCAACCAAATTGATACTTCTAGATCATTGGAGACTGTTTTTGATGTGAAACAATCCATGCGAAAATGATTTGCTTAAAGAAGTTTGCACGTTTAGATTTAGAGGCAATAATAAGCAAGGTCTTATGCGGAATTGAACGATAAGATAAATATTAACGTAGTACCTAGCTTAGGTTAATTCACATGCATAGAAGTTAAGTTCAAAAGATAGCCAGCTTAATCCAACATTGCATACATAGATAGTTCCAACAAGGGATTCCAATACTAACAATTAGATTAGTAGCTATGAGAAGGTCCCTCACACAACTCATCCAATTACTAGGTTTTAGCGGAGAAGCGTTAATATGATCTTCATGAAGATAATGAATTCACAATTCAAGGATGCAACTATGAAGATAGAGAGTCGGTGTCGAATTTACCCAAAGACAAGAGAGATACGCGCTCCGGCAAAGTTGTTTGGTAGTTGGGAATGAAGTGGGCAGCAACCGCGAACCTCCTCGCACTAAGGAATAAAGTCATACAATGTTCCGGTGGTGCTTTGATGGTTGGATCGGAAGTAGGTGGTGCTTGAAAGCTTCTTGGATGACTTGAACACCCACAATACAGCCGGTTGCCCTTTCTGGAATTCCGAGTCAACAAATTGTGGTCTTCCAAAGTGCTGGGCAGCTAGATATCTTCGCTGGCATCAGTGGACAGCAAGCTGGTCTACTTAAAACAACAGTTATCAGGCTTCCAATTGTTGTGGATGCAATGGCAAAGGCTGGAATTTTCTGGCTGCAGGTTTAGGAGGTAGTAAACTCAATGTTTTAAGGAGTTTGGGAAGGATTAAGTGGGGGGAAGCCAACGCATGAGTCTAGGGAAGTTTCAGCCAGCAGCAATGGAGAATTCAAATGGGAATTAAATTCCAGAAATGACAGATAGGAAAACCGTGGGGGGGGGAGGGTGAAGAGCTGTTTCAAATTTTAGATTTTTGAAATCTGAAATTACCATTGATGAAATCTGGAATTAACTATGTGAGAGGAGACATTAAAGAGGTATTTAAGTGGTGGTGAGGTGGCAATTAGAGAGAGAAGCAATGGGGGTGAGGTGGCCGGCCATAGGGAGAAAGAGAGAGGCTTTGCATTAACTAAAGTGGGGCCCGCAATTAATCACAGATTTTAGTCAAAATATGAACAGAAATTTCAGGATTTTAAATCTGAGAAGTTTCCTAATAAGAGGGTATAATTAAGATTAATTTGAATTTCAAATTCAAATTGACTTCTAATTAATTTGGGGGCCTCAAATTAAGGAACTAACTAGAAAAGTAATAAAGGACTTCATGAAAACTGACATTTGACTTCATGATTCAATGGGGGTGGCCGGCGGCAAGCCTGAGAGGCTGCACGGGTGGGGCAACCGGGCCTCTTGGCCGGTGGTGAGGTGCAGTCGGCGGGCAGCAGGCGGCCAGCTGGGAAGGGGCGGTGGGATGGAGGATTGGGGGGAAGGATTGTGAGGAGAAATCCAAGAGAACGAAGATCACAGTCTGGAATGAATTAGAGCCGGCGAGTAATGGAGGATAAGGAGAATTGGGATGGCGCAGGTAGACCACGAGCCACGGACTCTTCCGACGACTGGCGGGGATTGCTTTTGCCCTCACCTTGGGCTTTCCATAGAACTCACACAGAGATCTACGAGAGATGAACTCACTAAGAGATCTTCACGAAGGAACTCACAAAGAGAACACGAGCAAAAATTTTTTTATTCAATAATCATCATCCCTTTCCAAGAGGAAGGGGAGGGCTTAAATAGCCAAATACATGAAAGAAAACAAAAATACACAATTGCCCCTAGGGCAAACATAAGACAAAGCCCTCAAGTGAGGGTAGAAAGGGAAAAGTACAAATAACAAATAAAATACATCAAAATAAATAGCCACGATCGTAGCCGTGGATTTTCGATGTCCTCATCAGTTTTGGTCATTTGGAAAAAGTTATGGAACCAATTCGATCATTTTCTCTTTTCAAAATATATTTCCATTGAAAGTGGTTTCATGTTTAGTCAATATGCAAGGATAATATTCTAAAGGTTCCCAGTTGAACTATAAAATGGCTCGACAATGGTTCTAGAATGAATATCAGGGACATCTACCATTTCAAATTAGAAAACATAGGAAATAATCAAAACTGAATAAAAAAATAGATAGCTAATAAACAAGAGCCAATCAAGCAAAAAAGCTTTCTAAGATACAACAATAAGTCAGTAATGTGGAAAGATTCAACAATGAAGGAGGGAAAACAAAAAGTTGGCAATTCTTCCAGGATTCAATGGAAAGAAAGATGCGAACCAGCTTTGACTCCATATGGAAAGAAAGATTCATTGAAGGTGGAAAAGATGAATCATTATTTTTCATATTAAAGGCAACATGGAGGTAACTAGTTCAATCAATCCTCTTACATCTGAGAATCCCGCATTTGGAGAGACCTAAAGAAAGTAAGAAAAAAATAAATGCAAATAAAAAGAATCAATACGAATTGTAAATTCCAGATTTAGGTTTTCTAAAAAAGTTAAAAAAATCTTAGCATAGGTTTTAAATTACCAACACCATAGCCTGTTAAATCCATAAGTGCGTTTGTTTACAAATGCAGAAAAAAGGGGTATGGAGTCTCATAAAGATTTGATCAAGGATGCTTCAAATCAAAGAAAACACCAACCTTAAACAATCCACACTATGCACGACTACCTTGAAATACCTTACAAGTTGGATGTGGAAGATTAACATCATCTAACAAGTAAATGTGTTATCTTCTAAATTAATTAAAAATCACAATATTTTAAGTAGAAGCAAATGAATCTGTTTAAGCATGTATTAACAAGTAGCTAATTTAAAGACAGACAAAGTCCTAAGGATTCCACTCCAACCATATCCGGGTAATTTCATCATGTCATTAAGAAAAAATGTAGTCTGCAGCATATGACAACTGGAAGGATAAATCATTGTCTTCATGGGAAAATGTAAAAATGTGGTTAAATCGAAAAAAGGTAATATTAAAATATCAAAAGTGGGAAAAGCAGTTAAGATATGGTCAGAGACAAACAGCAATGGACAGGGACTCAGCAGCACTATCAACATTTCCAAAAGCCTCCTCTGCATGAATTCTCTTGACGCGACCTTTCCATGAGGATTCCATATCATAGAAGAAATCAGAGGGAATGTCAGAAAAGGAGCATATCTCTTGATCTCTTTCTCCACTAAGGGAAATCATTTCACCAATTCTCTGCGAAACCAAACCACACTCCTGCACCTACAATGAGAATAAAAAGTAATTAAATTTTATAAAAATAATGAAAAATAGAAAATTATAGATACAACTAATTTTGATACTCTCAAGAAGATAGAATGATAGCAATAAGTTAGCATTACAGTCAAGAAAACAGGGTGAAAGCATGATAAAGCAACTGCGAAAAAGATTATAAAATTTCGCATTCCATAGATGCAAGGCACAAGTGAAAGAAACACGAGCTCAATCTAACAGGTAATTTACAAAGCTCTACAACTCTGGCAAATTCATGAACAAAGTTAGCATGAGTACTAGAGTATAGAATCATAGCATGTGAAATAAAAAAAAAAGCCGTGATGGCTTCAAAACATGCAATCTATAAAGTATTACCCATTTAGAAAGAATAAAGATTCTTAAATTCTCTCTTCTGATTATATTTCAATTAAAAATTATCTTTCTCTCAGCTTCAGCTACATTCTACTTCACATTTTGCATCACGGAACAGTCAATCAACTACTGCAGATCTTGATTTATGAATTCTAGTTGAAAATTTTATTTCCAGCATCCATATGATTTTTAAAGTAGAGCTTTCGATGTCAGTCTCTCTTACACCCATGATCATAGTGCTGCCTTCCTCTGTTATTTTCCTGCCTTCCGTTGCCTTCTGCACTTCCTCTCACCTTGGTTGTTGTTCTCACTCATTTCCTATGGCTCAAGATGATATCACGACTACAAATCCAAGTTTCAATTTGAATCCTTTTCCTTTACCACCAGTTTTCATCGAATCCCGCCTGTGTCTCCCATATTGGTTGTTTCTAGGATTTTAGAAGAACTCACAATTAGGTCATCAATCCAAATCCCAGTGGCACCTTTCTTCACAAAGGCTCCTTGTCCTGCTTCCTCTTTTTTAAAACCTACATCTCCAACTACTCCCCCTCTTTACTCCTTTGCAAATGTTATTTTTGGCTAAATGATTCAAGATTTCATGCCTCCCCATCAAAAAAATCATTTCCCTTTATTTTTTTTTATCAATATCTAGCATCATGACATAAGCATCTATTCATATATCAAGAGATTATTAGGTGCGGAGTGCGGACAGGGAGAACCGTCCGCACAAGCATTGGGTACCTAGCGGTACCCGCACTCGGTACCGTTGGGTACTGCTAGGTACCCAGTGCTTGTGCGGATGGTGTGCACTCCGCAACTAATAAGTTTTCCCATATATCAGGGCAAAAATGCTCTCATCTTCACTAAAGTGTAGATATCAAAAGCTTATTAGACCTCTCCGTTTTTCTATTATTGAAAAATTCTTAGTAGTCCACCCCAACATATTATCCAAAAATTTATGTTTGATTTATATTTGATTGATGACCACTCAATTGGGCTTATTGACCATCAACATATTATCAACAGTTCAACGATATAAGTGGTTTCCTGATGTGTATGCTAAAATAATCACCCTATTTTGTCTTTGTGAGGAACCACCTATCACTCCATTTTGAATTGCATTCACTCAGCTTCGCTTATATTACTTCAACAAATCCACTTTATATTTCCTGGATTTTATATTTGAAACATTCGCAAGTGGATGATGCCACTGCTCATCTTCTAAGACTTTCTATGGCTAGAGCTTTAGTTGAACTAGACATCACTTCTCACTTAGAAAAAGAGACATGAATTGGCTCCTTAACTTGTGGGTACCACCGGAGATTTGAATTTGAAGGCACTACAACATATTGCTTATATTTCAAGGTTCATCCAGATTTAAGGAAATCTAATTATTAGATACATGATGTACTATCAAATGATTAGATTCCAATCAAAATCTATTAAAGGTAACTCCTTTAATATATCAAGTTTTTAATCAAAACATGAAAGTATCACTACAGGAAAAACGTCATTTTCCGGCAGACATTTTCGCCGGAAAATTGGCCAAAATCCGTCGGAAATTAACATTTCCGGCGTATTTCCGGCGGAAATATTTCCGCCGGTTTGACGCGCGTCGTAAAAGGCCTTCCGGCGCAAAATAATACGCCGGAAACATTTCCGGCGGACTTTCCGCAGGAAAAATATTTCCGGCTGAATTTTTTTCGCCAGAATGTCAAGAAAAATTATAAAAAAAAACACCCGCTCCGGTACAGGCCAGCCCAGCCAGAACCCGCTCCGGCTCAGACCGCCTGGAACTCCCGCTCTAGCACAGCCCAGCCAGAACCCCCTACGGCCCAGCCCAGCAGCCAGAACCAGCCCCGCGAACCCGAGTCCGCGTGGAACCGGCCCCGCCCGAGCCCGCATCGGGGTCAAGTCGATGAGAAGATTGTAAAAACCCGAAAACGTTGTTTTAGGCTTCGCACGCTTTTCAAAGCGTCGCGACGAGTTTTAAGTGAAAATTTCAATGTTGTTGGATTTTGACGGGAATAATTTTATAAAATTGAGCGTAAAATTCTTATCGTTTCCGCGACGAGTTTTAAGTGAAAATTTCAATGTTGTCGGATTTTGACGGGATTAATTTTAGAAAATAGAGCGTAAAATTCTGATCGTTTCCATGTATAGAACCTATATTTAATTATGAGTATTTTAAGAATTATAAATTTTGGAAGATTAGAAATGCCAATTCTACCCCTAGGTGTTTCTTAAGCAAAATCTACTTAAGTGAGGGCATGAGAGTCTTTTGGCATGTCCCATTTCTCCCTATTAGGCAAACCGAACCCCTCCA